GGGTTGTATAATATGGTGGCCAAGTATTTCTATAGCACATTTTTCTTCCTGAAGGACCTTATTCTTGTCTTTACACTCTCCTGAAGACTATCCTGAAGCTGAATGGAAAGTAGCCTCAGGCTTTGTTCTCTGCTTCCCTCATAACTGCAGACTTGGCAGCATGTTTTCACCCCTCCTCCCACCTTTATCCCTTAACACATTTGAATGCCATCTAAATTTTTGTTTCCTTTTAGGCTATGAATTCTGGGGAACTCCGAGCATTTGACTGGGGCAGTGAGACCAAAAATCTGGAAAAAGGCAATCAGGTAAGAAAATCAAATACCAACTGCTGAAAATATATCCTTTTGAAATGCATGAGAGAAAAGTTATACTGGCAGTTTATTCTAGAAATGGGAATAAAGTACAAGAAATCAAGTAGAATAGAATACTATTCAGCCATAAAAAAGAATGAAATAATGTCATTTGCAACAATATGGATGGACCCAGAGATTATCATACTAAGTGAAGTATGTCAGAAAAAGAAAGGAAAATACCATATGTTATCCCTTATATGTGGCATCTAAAATATGACACAAATGAACTTAACTACAAAGCAGACTTACAGACAAAGAGAACAGACTTGTGGTTGCCAGGGCAGAGGGGTTAGGAGAGGCATTGACTTGAAGTTTGGGATTAGCAAATGCAAACTATTATATATAGGATAGATAAACAATGGTGTCCTACTGTATAGCACAGAGAACTCTATTCAATATCCTGTGAATATAATGGAAAACAAAATGAAAAAGAATATACATCTGAATCATTTTGTGGTACAGCAGAAATTAACACAACATTGTCAATCAATTATGTGCATGGCATAAAATAAATTCTTAAAAAAGAATTCAAGTAGAAAGTAATAAGTTCTGGTTCAACTTCATTTAAGAATGAGAAAGTTCAAAGCTTTGACAAGAGACTTTCAGAGGTTAAAAAAACTGTTATAATGCAGTAGGAGGACTTTTCTGATGATGCTGCCTCTGTGAACAAGACACTGGCCCTCTTAGGAGCAAGATTGGGTAGACAGTGAAGGGAAGGGTGTAGTCTGGTGGCTGCTGGAAGGATCTTTCAAGATTTAAAAACAACAGTGACAACAGAAAAAAAAATGAAGATGGCAGGAGTGAGTCTGGTTCATGGTACAGTAAAAAGTATTAATAACAAGTGAGAATTACTGCATTAGTTTTGCCTCTGCCCTACAAAGTTGTGTAATGATGGCTAGACGGCTTTGATTCTTCAGGCCTCAATCTGTTTCTCTTTAAAATAAAAATTATTGGATGAGGTAACTTTTAATAGTTCTGCCTGGTTACACTTTTAATGAATCTGTAATCTGCAAGTGAAAAATATGAAAAAATATTACCCAAGAAAATGTGTGTGTAATCAATGCTATGGACTAAAATTTAAAGTAAAAGTAATGGGCATCAAACTTTTCTGAGCATAAAATCTTCTCTGAAGTTTATTGGTTAGCTTGTATATGAATGTAAACAGATTTTGACCACACAAACATAAAGCTGGAGGGAGCAGAATACACACATAGGTGAACCTTTGAGAGTCTCACATCATACTTAGCGTCCACTTTTCTACAACAGTCTAAGTGTAAAAGTCTAGGAAACTGGAGAGACCGTTGCAATGCCCCCGAAGAGCAAACTCTCAATCACGAGTTTCAGCTATATATTTTTAGATCCTTCTTGTTTCCTAAAATATATCTTTAGAGAAAGCATACCAGTTCCAAGATAGATTTAATTAATCAATATTTAAGGTCATAAATTAGAAAGTGAAGCATGCAAAATAGGTGACAGAAAATGTCATGGAAAGAAAAACACACATACCAAAAGGTATTATGACAAAAAGATATCATAGAAGCACATAGCCTTAGAGCCAGTCCTGATATTCAGTTCAATCATTTCACCTGTTAGATGAGAAAAACATACTATAGGTTCCATAGACTATTCCAACCTTTCACATCTAGTTACTGTATAAAAGTGGATCTGACCACAAACGTGAATGAAGACCATACACATATGTCTTCTTATAACTCACAGCATCAGATGCTATACCTTCAAATTCTTAAAAGCCACAAAGAGAAATGAAGACTCCCAGGATTGGAGCCCTGGATCCAGGGTTGATTTTCTGAGTGAGAAGTGGGCCTGGACATTTCTGTTGAAAGTTCTTGGTGTGTATTAACATCAAGGGCTCTCAGTCAACCAAACTGATCTGGTATTTCTGTTTGAATAAGAGAAGATCTCAAGAACTAGGAATCCTAGATATCTTTTCTCTGGGTGATGGGTGACTAGAGCAGGGATCTAATTCTTACCACTTCTGGGTTCAAACTCCCCAAGTTTCAGTGCCATTAGCTTCCCCATGTTTCTGGAGACACAGGACAGAAAACCCCTGTGAACACCCAAGTCCTTCTCAATAGGTTCCATCCTCTTGCCTTTCTCTGTAGAATCTCTTCAATCTGACCTCATGAAATGCTGTGAAATTATTTTTGAAAAAGACAGGAGTATTATCTTTTAAAGGCAATTTATATACTAAATATTTACTAATAGGGAAAGAATTGAACATGCAATGCCAAAGGTGCTGGGCAATTGAGGTGTTTTCCCATTTAACTTGGTAATTTATTCCAGGCATCATCCACATTTTGCAGATGAAGAAGCTGAGGTTAAATGAGGTTAAGCAGGGGCTGGAGTAGAAACTCTTAATGCAGTTTTGTATGGGTCCAGTGCCCATGCCCCTTTCATCACAACACAGAGCACATTGACTGTGTTTATTAGAAAAGTAAATGATGAGTTTGGAAGTCCAAATGTTATACAGTTAAAAACTATTTCTTTTCTCTAGCCAACTCCTATAAGGTACAAAGTTAGAGATATGACAGTCCCTACAGCGATGTGGACTGGGGGTCAGGACTGGCTTTCAAATCCGGATGATGTGAGAACACTGCTCTCTGAGGTGACCACCCTCATCTACCATAAGAACATTCCTGAATGGGCCCACGTGGATTTCATCTGGGGTCTGGATGCTCCTCACCGTATGTACAATGAAATCATACATCTGATGAAACAGGAAGATACCAGCCTTTCCCAGGGAACTATCAGTATAAGCTTGTGAAGCATCTGATACTGACTAGTCTTAGGAAAAAACCTCATGAATGATGGGGCCATGAGTAAAAGATATTAAAGATTTTCAGCACTGGAAACTCACCATATTAGGAAAAGGGAGGGCCAAGATTAGGGTTAAGATTGTATTCATTCCTTTAGATTTTTTGCATTTGAGGCTAAAACTGACATTTAATTTTTTCAATTAATTGAACTACTCATTGGGTGAACACAGTTTTCATGTACTATTGTGTATTCTGCCATCTTGAAAGGTAGGTTTTAGCTGACAGCTAGAAATTATCTAGTCATTCTTTACGTCATTCAAATAAACTTCCTTAAAACATTTATTGTCTATGAGCCATATTTTTGGAGCAATAAAGTAAAATGATGAATTGGGGTCAGAGGTCTTAAAGTTCCAGATGGTTGCTGAATTTGAAAAAATAAGCTAGATGTTTTTACCTTATTGCTACAGAGACATAACACTACCTCAGGAAGCCAAGTTGCTTTAACCAAAAAAGAAAAATCAATGTACAGTATAGATGAAAAGGCCAAGTTTCATAGCTGAGAGTCAAAGAAGATTATCTTCTAGGATATTTATGAGTTTTTCCAATAAAGCATGCGTATGTATTTCAGTACCTACATTCTAGTTCAAGCTTCTTTGATAATTTACAGATTGTTGCTAGGAGACCTACTGGTTACAAATGTCCAGCCAAGTTTTCTGCCTTCAAAAATGAAACACCAGGAAGAAAGTTTTAAAATATCATGAACATAATACAACATTATGCTTTGATCTTAACAGAGGTACTGTTATCAGGCAATCATACCCAGTTCAGTTAAGTTCAGTTGCTCCAGTCGTGTCCAACTTTTTGCAACCACGTGGACTGCAGCACAGCAGGCCTCCCTGTCCATTGCCAGTTCCTGGAGTTTACTCAAACTCATGTCCATTGAGTCAGTGATGCCATCCAACCATCTCATCCTCTGTCGTCCCCTTCTCCTCCTGCCTTCAATCTTTCCCAGCATCAGGGTCTTTTCCAATGAGTCAGTTCTTCACATCAGGTGGCCAAAGTATTGGAGTTTCAGCTTCAGCATCAGTCCTTCCAATGAATATTTAGGACTGATTTCCTTTAGGATGAACTGGTGGGATCTCCATGCAGTTCAAGGGACTCTCAAGAGTTTTCTCCAACACCACAGTTCAAAAGCATCAATTCTTGGGCGCTCAGCTTTCTTTATAAGCCAACTCTCACATCCATACATGACTACAGGAAAAACCATAGCCTTGGCTAGACGGACCTTTGTTGGCAAAGTAACTCATTTATATACCTGGATTTATTTCTTTAGAAAATTGTTCAATTTTCACACAGTTTCAAAGACAACAGTTATGAATTACATGGTATGGTGATTTTGCAGAACTCTGACACCAAACTGAAGGCATTCTGGCAATTTGTTGAAAGTTTCAATTTTTTTTTTTTTAATCTTCAGAGTCACCTTATATCTAAGTTCAATGTGAATGGATCTTAGATAATGTAGTAAGAGACATTTAAGGTCTTCAGAATCTATATCTACACACAACTACTTCCCTCAAAAAGTATGTGCTTAGGGTACTGTGCAGAGTTCAGTAAATTTTCCTGGATTTTATTTTTTTATTAGACCTTTGTTCTGTTTGGAGATGGCAAATCGTTCATTCTTAGACTGCATTTGTTACTACACACTGTGTAGTCCATGGCTAAAAATATTCATGATTCAGTCTTGCTTTGCAAAATTCAGTCATTTTTAAATGTGCTCATTTCTGTTCTCTCACTGACAAAGAACTTGAGACAGATATTTCAATGTTCGCTCTCTCCTCTAGAAGTTTAATCTAGATACCACCTCATCACATAGTCCTTTCTTGTCAAGAATTCTTTTATTCAAATAATTTACAATATTTTTATTTTATCAATAAAAAATACACTAACAAGGTTAGTAACTGTCCTGCATTCACAAGAGGATCATAAAATTATTTTTGAACAAACAACTTGATAGTCACATAATCATGTTTGACATCAAGATGACTCTAATTTGTAAGCTGATAGCAAAACATCTAGAGATGTGCTGGTACACTGGCTCTTTGTAAGGGAAAAAAAAAAGCTCTGACTTGAAGCATTTGCCAATATCTGTTGTTGATAACTGATACATGATTTTGTTGAAGTTTGAATATTTACATATAAATCTCTAAACCTACACACATACATATACCATTCCGTACGAATATATATGCTTGATTCTTGGTCTTATTACTCAAAGGAGCCTCAGAGGAACAGTTTGGCTCTTGGGGCAGGATATGGATGGGACAGCCTCTTTATAAGAGCAGCACAGCTGAAAAGAGAGAAGAACACTGATCCTTTCCTTCAGAAGAGATTGACTTTGAAACATCACCTTGTTTTGACTGATGTGGAGAGTCCAACATCTTTAGTGGCTCCCCCAGAAGGATTGTGACCATAATGAACTCCACTGAGCAAAAAACATTAGAAATACAAAGCTCTTCGAAAATGTTACCCATGGCAACCAACCTTATCCCCGTACCATGGGGGTCTCCAGGTTGAGTGGTCTGCAGACCCACAGTCCAAGACTGAGACACAATCCAGGCCTTTTACTACTTCTTCATATGAGATTGCAAAGATTATGATGCTTTCCTTAGCATTAATTCAATCTGGGGAAATTTTAATCTCTGTGCAATATCCAGGGAAGTCTCACCATGCTGAGAAGAAAAAGAAACCATAATTATCACCAAGAAGGTCAAATGTCATTGCAAAGGATCTAGTAAACAGTTTAGTGTGACTTACTCACAGGTTTGGCAAGGGCTTTCAATGTCACTGGGTTCTAACTTTAATAGGATAACTTGATTCCTTAATAATTTGCTATTAACAACTTCAGGGGCAATTTATTTATGTCAACACAAGGCCAACGTTAGAAGGTGATGCTGATAGAAGGACCTCAGACCGTGGTCCACAGATCCTTACCTTATTCTTTATCATGGGGTTTGCATGGGCTTCAAGGAGCAGAGGAATGAGAGTCTGGTTTTTCATTTCACAGGCATAGTGTAGCGCAGTGCAGCCATACTGAAACACAAAAGACCAACAATGCAACGGATCCATCGGAACCCTTACACACTGTACATGTGGCTTCTTTAGCAAGTACTTTTCATATTTTGTCTTGTACAACTAAGCCAAATCAACAGTCTGCAAACCATCCACATGCAATTACATTTCTTAAGCTCAAAAAGTCTGTTGTGCCTCAGTGTGTATATTAGCAACATCCTGTAAGTCATCCATATCTTCCCTTCTTGTTTTCTGTTCCAGACGAAATAAATTCTGCTTATAAAAGGCTAATGCTGAACTATCCCAAGGTTTCTTTCTACAATTCTGGGCAATCACCACCTTGATTATGTTACCATCTTTTCTCTTAAAGAGATCCCAAGTTTTTACAAATATCATCCTTTATTGTTCATAATCAAAATCCCTCCAGTCTGAAGAAGGTTGCTGGTGCTCAGATGTTATAGCACACCTACAAGATCAATGTTGGTCCACATAGCCATTGCCCATCCTTGCTTTGCTGTAGCTTATATTATGTATTATACAGTAGCAGATCTACTAGGGGGGTCTAATTTAAAACACAACTGACAGTCAAAGGAAATTTATAGCTGAGATATTCATGCCCAAAGTTTTGTCTTTTAAAAAGCAGCCAAATAACTATGATTTTGAATAATAATATTCAAGAAGTGAAGAAATATTATGCTTGACTGTCAAGACTAACAAAATTGACTCTGGATCTTATTCCCCAGAAATTCTTCTAAGATCATAGGAAATAATGCTGCAACCACTTATTTTTTATTAAATGATAACATGTTAAATGAAGATCTGGATCTGAATTTTTCCATATGAAATAAATAGGACCTAATTACCTAAAAATGCACTATACTGCATTACTTAGATTTGGGAAATGGACCTTAATATTCAGATGGTTTTTGAAAAATAGTGGGGAAAGAGTGTGTCTGCATGTATGTGCTTGTGTGTATTCAAAAATGTGATTTTTTCTATCTAGAGAGAGACATAGATAATGAGAAAAGTATCCTAGGGAAATTTCAGTCATAGGCAAAGTTTAAACCTTTTTTAAGGGGAATTAAGTTTGAAATTATATTATGAACACATTTTTAAAAATAGATACATTCTCTGTTGACTCATTTATATACATCCTTGGTGTAGCAAGTTGAAAATCATCAACTAATAAGTTAGAAACTAAGAAGCTCTGGATGAAAAGATCTTTCAAGACATTACATGTGTTTTACATATTTTTAGTTGCACAAATAACACTAAATAAGCAGAATCTTGAATTAGACAAGACATCAGAAGTCATCCAATACAGTCTCTAACAACAAATGGTTAGACAATACTTAAAGCAAAAACTATTTGAAAAAAAGAAATACACCCTTTGAGTCGAAATAAGAAGACCTAGCAATACCTGCAACAAATCTTTTAGGTTTCTAACATCTTACTTAATACATTTCAAAGTTATCTAAGAAAATGATGATGTACATTCTATCCAAATTAATCCAAAAATTCTAACTTAAATAAAAGGGAAAACATTCATTTCATAAATGTATTCTCTTGGGCATTCTCCTCCTGTATCTCTCTCTCTCTTCACACACATACACACACACACACACAGAGTGTGCTACTTCCATTTAAACAATACCAATATAACCAAAATTAAAATTACAATAATGCAAACAGGGGTGGGGACATTTTCTCTACCACAGAAAAATGGTAATAAACATGCACACACACAGATGTACACAGCATAAAATACACAGCATGGATATACACAGCATGGATCATAAAGAAAACCTAAGAATATTGGTTTTCTTAGGATCAAATTTCAACTTGCCTGCCCTTTCAATAAAGAACTGGGAATCAAAATTTCATTTTGCTAATATAAGCAAAATTTCATGCAAGTAAACTTCTGATCCCTTTATTATCATGCAAGAGAAGATGAGTGCAAGGGTATGGAGCAAAAGGTGAAAACAAAATCTTATATTTAAACAGGAAGAAAGTAGCTTACACTGCTTCTGTTATCACTGTTTTTATTGTCATTTGGATTTCTCTTTGACCTTTTGCCCTTATTTTTCCTTAGTTTGCAGTTGGGGACCTTCTCACCAGTGGGTTGGGGTTTTGGCTGCAACAGCTGTTAGGATTCATTGAGCACTTACTGTGTGCCAGTCACTCTGCTCTGTGCATCACGTGATGAGTCTTGTAAGAACTAGTGATGTCCTCATCTTACAGATGAGGAAACCCAAGAGTCAGGTAAGTTTAAAACTTGCCACAACTTGCATACATAAAAACTGGTAAGGTTTACACACAGGCATTTGGATTGCATCTTAACTACTGAGAATGGAATTTTGTCATCAGAGCCTCCATTTTTATTAACTTCCCACTACTGGTGGAGCAGTTCTCTTAAAAAATGTACTATATTCAATAAAAGTATTAATCCCATGAGTTCAGTGGCAATATCAAGGTTGCCTGACACAGTAAAAAGGAAGAAGAGAAAGGAGGGCAGGAGAGAGGGAGGCAAAGAAGGAAGGAGGGAAGAAGAAAGGCAAGAAAGGAGGAAGGAGCAGCTAAATGTTCAAGTGTTTCACAAAGTAAAAAACAAGCAACTTTACAGATGACAAGTATTGTTGTTTAGTCACTAAGTCATGTCTGACTCTTTTGAGACAAGTATAATACCCATGAATACCATTTTGAATGTTATTTCAAAGTGACTACAAATGCAAGCTTACACAGTCTATGGCATTAACTTCAACACCAGCATTAAGCAGCATTCGTACAAGAGCCTCATTCTGCTTCGTCTTTGATACCTGTTACAACAGCAAGCACAAGAAGAACAAGAGAGGGTTATTTACAAATGTTGTCTCCTTCTTATATCTGGAATATTCCCATCAATAGGCTTTATTTTAGTCCCAACATCCCCCTGCATCTATGCATCATTCTTAAACTCTCCCCACCTTCCCCCTGCCCTCCAGTAACAACTAGGGAAAACCATGGTTGTCAGAGTGTGGTTCTGGAGTAGCAGCATCAGCATCTGGGGACCTAGAAATACAAAATCTAGGGTGCGATCCCAGACCTGCCAAATCCTGCTGAGGTTGGAGTCCAGTGACCTGTCTTTCCTTTCCTCACTCAAAACCTTTCTATAACATCCCGTTGCTCTGGAGACAAAAGCAAAATCGTCAGCCTGTGGCAATCCCCATATATTCTGCTCTCCACTTATGGCCTCAGCCATCTCAACCACACCTCCTGGCTCACCTTGCTCCAGCCACATTGGCCTCTGTTAGTCTTTCATCCCCACAGGCTCCTCTGTGCCATAGAAGAGTTGCACTGAATGTTTCTTCTGCCTAGAAGCCTCCTCTCTTTCTTCTTTGCCTGGTAAATATCTCACCCTATGCCCCTCTTCCTCCAACACGCTCTCTCTGACCTACCTGTCCAGGCAATATCCCTCTCCATTGACTACCTCTGTGTACCAACTACCTCATGAGAATTTCATAAGTTTCTTTCACTGTTTGATTTAATGACTCATTCTTCACTACCATCTAACTCTCATGAGGACAAGAACCAAACCTGTTTGGTGCATCATTGTATTCCTAATACCAGCACACTGTCTGGCACATAAAAGGTTTATAATAGGTATGTGGTGAATGGTTGAAAACATGAATGAAATTAACTAGGCTCCTCAGAAATCCACTTTTCCTGCCTAGTCTTCTGAGATTCTGATCACGGGACACTTTGAGCATCCCCACCATTCCACTGTGTAGGGAGAATGGCTGTCCCTATTCAAGTGGGCATGTCCTGGAGTTAAGCCCCTTTATCATTTAGGAAGCTCCATCCAGCTGTCTTCTCTTTGCAGTTCCCTCCCATCTCAATATCGCCTTTCTCCTCCTGTCCTCTGATGTAGCACAATCCTTTCTGATCGCTTCCCAGATTATTTCTTCTCATGTCATTTATTCTTTATGCATCACAAATTTACAACTTCAGGCCCCATGAATTAATATAATACATGTGCAATCAGAGCTGACTTATTCACTGTAATTCATCTTTTTTGCCCAGGCTCCAACTTTAAAAGTTGTACTGTTTTGACTGATAAAAGAAATCAAAGAGGACACAAATAGATGGAGAAATGTATCATGTTCATGGATTGGAAGAATCAATATTGTGAAAATGACTATACTACCCAAAGCAATCTATAGATTCAATGCAATCCCTATCAAGCTACCAACAGTATTTTTCACAGAACTAGAACAAATAATTTCACAATTTGTATGGAAATACAAAAAACCTCGAATAGCCAAAGTAATCCTGAGAAAGAAGAATGGAACTGGAGGAATCAATCTGCCTGACTTCAGACTCTACTACAAAGCCACAGTCATCAAGACAGTATGGTACTGGCACAAAGACAGAAATATAGATCAATGGAACAGAATAGAAAGCCCAGAGATAAATCCACG